CATATTGAAAAAAATCAATGGCGATGTATAAAAATGATTGAAAGTAATTCAAATTGTATATACAATTCAGCATTTTGAATTTGATTTTTGAATCTAATAGTAGATATATTCTTTTATATACATGTTTTAGACTATTTGTACGTATAACACTAATTGCAAAAGTTTCATAAAATGTTTTCAATTTTATGTGCTAAAATGGATAGTGTTTATTTTATAAGACACTGATAGTATAATCGGTAAATTACAAATATTCGCTTTTCCATATAAAATAAAAAATGATTCATAAAACTTCCTAGCCCATCCTACCTATGGCGTTAGCATGTGTGAATAAGTATCCTAATGTCCTAACGTGCATAAATAGATAACACAATTGCTGTTTTAATAATAATGAACGACAACGGATGCTTGACAAATCAAACAACAAAAACGAATAATACAATTGCTATTTTATAATGTCCCAATTTTTACAATTCGATGAAATTTATGCACATGCCCGAACTTCTAATTCTGAGCGCTGATAAAGTTACGCATATAATAATTAAAATTCTACATAAAATCTTATCATTATTTACCAGGTTATGTAACTCTTCATCGAGATTATAATTGGACAATTTGTGAAGAGTTGCTACTGTTTCGTTTATCTAAAATTGTTTTTATGCAATATGAAAATTTTTAATAAAAAACGGAGAGAAAATTTTGTACTCAAAAGATTGCGTGATTTGGAAGAAGGCTTCGATATTTGTAATTTTAATGTTGCGAAATTGTTGCTTGTGCTTTTAATTCTAGTTATAAATAATTATAGTTATAAATAATTAATAATGTTTTAATTTTACTGTACCTTATTGTAAATAGATTGACATATGTAGTTTGATGTAAGAAATAAGATAGTGAACAAAAAGGGTTTGAAAAAATAAACTAATCTCATTATAATACTTCCAGATATCCGGAATTCATAATTTCTTGATAAAACTATAAAACGTATTTCGTTATAAATGGTCATAATTGCTACGAAGCTCCATAATATTTGAAGTAACATTGGCATTTTGAATATTTTGTTTAGTTTGTGAGATATAAGGCATAATTGTAGGTGAACGTGCCTATAAAGAAATCGTAACTGTTTTAATTAATAAAACCATAGAGACACATAGGAGAAGTACTAACATTAAACAAAATAAATTATTATTATCGTAGAATTAGAATTACAGAACAATATAATTGTAATTTGCGATTGGTACAAAATGTGTAATTATTTTCATAAAGTTGAAATTAATTAAGGCTCCTGAGTACTCAGCCAAGAACTCCGCGTTGACGATAGTGACACAGAATCAAACGACGGTCTGACGAAACCGATAACTACATTTAAGCACAAAGACCAAGAGCATGGACTGCTCGATCGTATCTAACAAGAGGAGGACCAGATGACTCACTCTAGGATTTCGACCCCAATTTTTTTAGTTATTCTGGAAGTGAAAAAAAAAGATACGTGTCCCAACGTTTGATTGAATAGGCCTTAGTTTCGGAGTAATAAATTTATGAAAATTGGCCATATCTGAAGCGCGCCGTGGCGCGCCATATGAGCCTTCCCGGTAGTAGTACTTCCAAACAGTGCGATTGGCTCCGTGAGTCAGGCACTTGCTTCATAATTCGTAAGATCCAAGTTCGCTCAAGGAAGTGAGCGATAATTTTTTTGTTAATGGGTGTTCTCCTGTCATCTTTAGGGAACATTGATGTCTCGATCCCTTGTGTTAATTTTGCACGACAAATAGCACTAAGCACACCGTTCCATGGTGAGAGTCCGATTTCGCGTTCGCGTCTTTCTGTACTAGTGCACCATAACAGCTCACACTGATTCACAGATTCACTACTCCATTGAAAGGGGCCTATAAATGGCGGCGTCCAATCAGAGACGACCACCCCCTCATGTCCCGACTCTCATTATAGGGTCTCTAATCGTAGGATATCGTATGCGACATCTAGAGTCCTCCTTTCAAGAATAGTTTAAAAGTGGACCTTATTTATGCCCGGTTGCATCAACGTTACTTGAATTTTAAGCGAACTTAAAACTCTTTTTATCCCTGTCTCTTTTCGGTTTTAAAATCAAAGTTACGTTGGTGCAACCGAGCTTTAGCGATGGGGCTTATTCGGCTCAGGAACCTTAATGCCATTTAAAAAAGGTTATTATCATATCTTTTGGCGTCTCTGTCTGGAAAAAAATAACGTGACCAATACGTGTCCTCGAATTGTTGCACTCTAGAACACTCTTTTTCAAATTTTTCATAATTTTTGGTATATTACAATGTGAAAGTTAAAATGATGCACACTGTTCACCTACATACATACATACATATAATACATGCGCGCGCACGTGTGTAATATTTTTTAAAAAATTACATTATAATCCATATACATTGCTTGCGATCCTCAGTTTCTGTTATCCGTTGACACATTGAATTGGATCTGTTTTGTCTTCTATAGTCTGCATCATTTTCGAAAAATTTGGAATAGAACACATGTAAACGATCATTGACTTGATGAAATCTAAAGTTTATGTATCTGAATTGTATGAAAGAGATTTAGTTATGTTTGTCATTAAAATTGTGGTATATACATAATATACGTATATATTATCATTACATTAATAAATAATCAAAGTTAGACTAGATTAGGAATTTGTTATTGGTTTTTTATGTTTTATTACATTTTATATTAACTATATATATGTATAATAGAATGAAATTTTATCATTTTTCCATTTATCTTATTTGGTATATATTCTTTACAATTTCAATGCTAATACTGATAAAATTTTATATAAAATTATAGTACTTAATAGCTTAAAAAATCTTTAAATGTTTCAAACAGACAATTTAATGCACACTATCAATAAAAAATAGCTAACGAAATAAATGGTCACATATATACTAACCCAAAGGAAGTTCCCCAAATTAGAGCACTTGAGACATATACAAATTGCGAAAAAAAAAAATTAAAAAAAAAAAACGTTATTGTTGTTATTATTATATTCAAATTAAAAAGCAAAGAATAGAAAGAGGGTCTCATGGAATCAAGAAACATATATACAAAACATCCGATTGTTATTCGAACTGTCCATTTACGCAAACGTTTAAATTTGTTTGGCAAACCGACTGCTTCCATTGTGTCATCCATTAAGGACAGTTCGTGCAAGCACATTTTCAATTCCTTTAAAAAATCACATTGATTAATCATGCTTCATAAAAGGATATTATATCTGAATAAAAATTGTTGTTGCAATGTGTATAGAAAATGTGATGGTAGATAAAACAGTTATAAGAAAGATTAGTATTTGAAACACATGATTAAAGATATTACGATAAAAGCTAATTTGGAAGAGTAATATAAATACAAATATTAATTTCACTAAACAGATTTTGATTACACTAAATAAGAACATGAACATAAAAATTGATTTATCCAAAAACTTTTTATAAAGAACTCCGCACAAATCTTACGAAAAATGTGTTTCGAACAAATTGCTTTAAATTTTAATATTTAATTTATAACTCACGTCAACCTGATAAGGGGGAAAATCACAATAAAATTTTAAATTTTCAGAAAAAAATTTTTTTAGGTTAAAAGGTGCTTTAGGCTCTTAAAAATAATATACCAAAGGATAGAATACAGCAAAAGCGTCGAACTGCCCGAATTTCTCATTCTGCGCCAACGCCTCTCAGGTATGCTCCGAGCGCCTTTTGTGATCCCGGAGCGCGTTAGAATTTATGAGTACGGGCGCAGGTATAACGATAGTTGATATAGTAAAAACTGACCCCCGAAAAGTGTAGTATGTCAAGAATGTCTATAGGGGTCACTATATGCAATATACATTCGAATAAACATGTCATAGCGTCATTCGACTAAACATGACATAGCGTCAGTAAACCGCATGTCGACCGTTGAAAACAACGCTTTTCACGACGCGTGTACGTTTGATAATATTCGAATAAAGTGATAATTAGAAGAAATGAGTGATAAAAATCCGAGTCGCAAAAATAAAGGACAAAAAGGTGATCCTGCCTACGAAAGAAGAAAGAAAGTGAAAAATAAACGACCGCCAAATCGCTATGAAATGGAATGCCCGGAGGATTTGAACGTCAGCGCATCGGCAAAGAAATTGAAAGCCTGAAGTATTCACGACGTTGAAGTGGATTCAACGTTTGGTTATCATCTCGTAAACTTTGTGTCCGTTTTTGCCGCTATTTCAAACGTTGTGATGTGTAAAGTGTGCCATTCTAACTTGAACTTTACTGAGAGCAGCAAACGAGGCTTGGGATTCAAAATTGTTATATCCTGTTGAAAATGCGACAAAACGGAAATACCGAATTCCCCATTTATCAAGAATGCATACGAAATTAATCGCAGAATTGTTATTGCCATGCGATTGCTCGGAATCGGTCTACAAGGCATAAGAAAATTTTGTGCCTTTATGGAACTGCCCCGCCCGGTTTTCCAATCAGTTTATGACAGTATTATTGACCATATTTGTACTGCCACAAAAATAGTTTCCGATAATAGTATGTCAAATGCAGCGATAGAAGAAAAAAGAATTTCTGCCGAGAAAAGAGAAAAAAATGGAATTACTGTCTCGGGCGATGGGTCATGGCGGAAACGCGGCTTTTCTTTTTTATTCGGATTCGTTTCACTCATCGGCTGGGACACAGATAAAATCATAGATGTCGTAGTGAAATCAAAATATTGCAAAGCGTGCGAGTATTGGAAGAAGAAAGAAGATACCGAAGAATACAGTGAATGGTTAGAAAGTCACGCGAACGAATGCCAAGCAAACCACGATGGGTCAGCCGGAAAAATGGAGGTCGATGCAGCCATCGAAATGTTTCAGCGTTCTGAAAAATTACATGACGTACCTACAGTACGGCAGTTACATCGGCGATGGCGACTCAAAAACGTTCAAAGGTATCACGGATGTGATAAGCCGTACAAAAACATAACGGTAACGAAAAAAGAATGCGTAGACCATGTGCAGAAACGCATGGGCACCCACCTTCGTAATTTGAAGAAACGCACGAAAGGCTTGGGCGGAAAAGGGAAACTGACAGGCAAGCTGATTGACGAACTGTCAATATATTTTCGATTAGCCATTCGTAGAAACTGCCAATCTGTAGAAAAAATGAAGATCGCTATATGGGCCACACTGTTTCATAAATTATCTACAGATGACAATCCTCAACATGACGATTGCCCGACTGGAGAAGATTCCTGGTGCTCGTGGCAAAAGGCGAAATCTTTAGGCACTTTGGACACGTATACACACAAACCGCCAATGTCGGATGAAATTTTCAACGCTATTAAGCCAATTTACGAACAACTTACTACGGATGACCTTCTCACTCGTTGCATCGGGGGTTACACCCAAAATAGCAACGAAAATTTCAATTCAACGGTGTGGTCGATGGCTCCAAAAACAATGAATTCCGGTAAGAAAATCGTCGACATTGCAACCAACATCGCTTTGTGTATCTTCAACGACGGACTGATGTCAATCTTATATATTTTTGAGACCATGAAGATGAAAATCGGATTAAATAGTTATCAACTATGCACGGAGGTGGATGAGAAACGCGTACAAAAGGCGGAGCGATCTCTGAGTGACGGCGCAAAACAGGCTCGGATCGATTTAAAAACTGGTCGAAAGGAGAAAGAAGATGAAGAGATGGAATTGGAAGGCCAATTGTATGGTGCAGGCATCGCAGATTAAAGGTATATAAGAATATTCTATGATTTTTCAGTACTTAAAACTTTAAACGCGTTTTTCTCTAAACCACTTTTTTTGAACTTGGAGGAAAGATAACTCGAGCAAATCTTTACCGATCGACTTGAAATTTGGACAGTATATTCGAAACACCTTTCTTTATGGAGCCATGTAGCGGTTTTTTGAAATATTGCTTAGTTTTTGTTTTATCGACAATTTTATGACGTTTTTTTTGCGTTAAATTTGTAACTTTTTTTAAAACGTGCACCATTTTGCGAAAAATCAATATATCGAAAAAATCCTACGTGGCTCTATAGCTGATGTTATATAGAAACTAAAAATTTTTGGTTTTATGTTCCAGGTCAAGAATTAAGGAGGGTTTCTTTCCTCCCATGGACCCCCTTCCGAAAACAGGCGCCTTCGGAAGTGTGCTGCAGAGCCGCCATTTTGAGATATTTTTTATGAAAAAATTACATTTTGTACTTCATTACTAACAATATAAAACCTACTTTACAGATTTTCGATTAATCCTTTCATTGAGCCAAAAAAATATCCCGAAAATATGCCTATTTTTCCGTGCTCTACTGTGATTTCCCCCCTTAAAAAATAAATTTTTATCCAACTTTTTTGAACGGAAAAAAAGCGTTTTTTCGTATCACTTTCTAAAAACACGTGTCAACTCGTGAATTTTAAATATTTTTCGATACTTTTAATTTACGCGATAGCCACGCAAATAAACTTGAAAACTTTATTTTATTCTTTGATTTCTAGCTATTGGTTCTCGAGATATCGTGTCAACCGTTTGGTCATCTCATTTTTTCAACTCTGCGCCTCTCAACTAATTTCTTGGAATTTTGGAAAAATTAATTTAATTTTAATTAAGTTAAAAAAAAGGTAATTATTCAGTATAGGGGACTATTCTTCAATGACCTTGACCTTGAAATATATTGTCAAGGTCATGCCCCCGAGGGACCTTGAACAAATTTTAGCCGTCGCTCGTTGTTGGTTAAAAAGTTGTTACCAAAAAAAGTTTATCAAAAGAATGTGGTTTTAAAGCAAAGAATTTATTTGTAAAACAGACATTCCTAGAAAAAGAACCAAATATATCATCACGCACATTAATTGACTGAACTAATTTTTGCAGAGAGGTGATTCATGTAATTTAATAACTTTCCAGGAAAGGGACCCAAATGTTCCCGTCCGATTTTATTGAGCTTTTAGTATGTTATTCTCCAGACAAAAATAAGCGACACATATTTTGGTGCCCATACGTACTTTTAAGGGGTGAAACATCCTTAGAAAAAATCGGTTTTTCTCTTTCGAAGCGAATATCTCTGAAACTGTAAGAGATAGAAAAAAATTTTTAGAATGAAAATTGAATAAATTTAAGAGTACTCTTTAGAACTATAACAAACAAATTTTTTAAAAATTACATTAGTTTACAAAAAATTTTTTTTCATTTACTTTGGACCGGAATACAAATATAGATTATTAATCTAAAAGGTAAATTTAATTTTATATTAACATATCGGTTACTTGTATATAATAACAGTTACACCATAAGGCCAGGGTTGGGTAGTGCCAAGTTAAAAAGCTAAAAGTTAAGTTAAAAAGTTGAAAAGTTAAATAATTTTAACGTAACTTAGTTACATTTTAGACTCTTAACTTTTTAACTTTATTTAGTTACATTTTATCGATAACTGTTGACTATTTATTTAAATTTTTTGTAGTTAAGTCTCAGACTCAAAAATATATTTCATTTAGAACATACTCTATATTTTACTTAAAAGTTTTGTTTGTATATATTATTTACATTATATATTGATTTCGGTCTAGCAAGAACCGTATATTTTAATCTAGTTTTTGATAGGTTGAAATCTATATATATATATCAGTATATATAAACAAAAAGTTTAAATAAAATATAGAGTATATTCTAAATGAAGTATATGTTTGTCATTTCCATTAACTTAACTTTTAATTCAATTAATGATACATTAACTAGTATCTTAACTCAGTTAAATTTTCAAGGTTGTTAACTGTAACTTAAAAGAAAAAATTAACTTAACCAACCCTGCATAAGGCGTCAAAATCTTGCGAGAGAGAAGGGTATATGTTTCAATTATTTCTCTTTCTTTTATACCTTTATTTAAGTTCTTTAACTTCTGAAACGACTGCTCATGCATGTTTACGATTACATCGGCTAGATATTTGATAAAAAATATACGTAAAAATTTAAAAAATGGGCGAATGTACATACTGTTCTACAACAATTCTTCATCTAAGGCTCATTTCATATTTACGTTGCTGAAATATGACGTTTATGATATCTAAAATTAGTGTGATTTAAATATAAGCGGGAATTGACAAAACCTAGCGAGTCAATAAAAACTGACTACCGTATGGTGTGACTCTTATTATAGATATCTCATCATAAAAGATCATTGAACACTTTCTAAATTGATTCTCTAATGTTTGACCTTATAGAAAAAAATATTAGCATTAAGAGAGATAGAAAAATTTTTAATTTAAAAAAGTTAATAAATTAAAGTTTTAAAGTAACTAAATTAAATTAAAAATTAATGCATTTAAAATTAAATAAGTTAAGTTAAAAATTATTAACTTTTTAACTTTTTTTATTAACTTTTTTTTTAACTTTTAACGTTTTAACTAGTTACTATCCAACACTGATCAATGGTGTGTTTATGATTTTAGTTTTGCGCTATTACTTAGAATTATACAGAATGAACGATGTGAACATGACGGGCGTTTCATTCTTTTGACCTTTGAAAATGCGTGATTTATATGAATTCCCTTGCTTCTCACAGAATAGGGTGCTTGATTTTTGTGAATCATCTTGCCTCTTTAGAGATCCTAACACGCTTCTTGGAATTAGAAAATAAAATAGAATTATTTTCAGGTTTTTTTATACGGTAATAATATTTTATAAAATATTACAAAATATAATACTTTCTCGTGATATTATATCTGACAGATTTTTCCGTGACATATATGTATACAGTATATATTTATGATGAATATTACGCAATATTTATAACTAATATTAATAAAAAAGACTTATTTTGACTATTTTTCCGTATAAGATGTGATGATCTTCCGAAGGTCCTGGAGTAAAATCTAATTTAGATGTTTGTGCTTATAAGGACTTTTAGTAAGCTTGACATGAGTTAAAAGATATTAAAATTTTAAGCAATTTGACCGAAACCCATTTTCCTTATGATTTGTGTGGAGTTCCTTGTATTTGCTCATAATTGTGAGATGAAGACGCCTTTAATTCTCTCAATGGAAAAGTAATAAAAAAAGTGTTAAAAAATTTTAATGCATTAACATTAGGGACTATGAGTACTTATAAAACATTTACCTTAAAATACAGGAAGCTAACAAGTATAGATGTAATCGTGGTGATTAATATTAAGAAATTTATCCACATGACTATATTAAAGGCTTTGAATAAAAATAAACGGTAATATGCGGGATAATAAATGAAGTACGAAGAAAAGCCCAATATTACCAAGACATACAGGTAAGAGAGGTATGGCCTAGGATGTCCAAAAGGATATTCGAATAAACCGAAACCGCAGAACGAACCAAAGACCATTGCTGGTACCAGTACAGCCTGTAGTGTCTCCGTCATAATTTCCAGGTCGTTGGCAATTAGTTTGAACTAATTCTTGCTGCGCGAGACACGAACGTGTATTAATACTTTTTATAAGAATATCAAAAACAGTTTTTGCAAATCCTCTAAAAAAATTTTGTGAGAATTACGGCGTAAGGTGCTTATATTTGAGGATGAAGTATGTACACATCAACTAACAAGTACTGAATGACAGAATAAACACACAGATGATCTAAATTAGCTTGTTTATTCCTCGATAAATTTTTTTTGTTCGTGTGTATTATTACAGATTATAAACGATGATAAACGTAACTATCCTCGCGATATTATGTCTTTATACTAGGATCCGAGGTATTTATTAAATGTTTTTATCTACACTTTTAACAACGTGTCTTAACAGTTGAATCTAATATAACTTCGATAAAGTGCTTTAGAAATAGTATGTAGAAGTTAATGCGCATAATATAATATGTTTTTTGTAAATTGAAGCTACGTAAATTTATTCTTGTAATAATAATATAATTTATTAAGAATTATTCATAATTAAGAACAATATAAGCTATTCAGTTTTGAAACGAAATTCCTACTAAACTATCGCAGTAATATCACGAGTTAAATTAACTAGCAATTTAATAATTTGATGCTTATTTCGCACTTTAAAACGATCTTAATAATGTTCCGTGACATAATAAAATCTGTAAGTAATTAATTCTTATTGCGAAAAATATTACCTTGGTTGGGAATCGAACCCGGACCTCTTAGGGGTGCGTTCGGAAATCTGCTCGTCGAATAGAGTAAGGTTGAGTATGAGTAAACGTAAAACTCGATCAGAGTAGCACGACTTTCCGAACGCATAGGATATAAGACTGAGGTAACAACAATGTCTGAATCAGTCCGCCTAAATAAAATACTATTTTTTGCGGTAATAGCTGGCCGCAGATAATAAAATAATAAAATAAAATAATTCAATAATTAAATAATAATTAAAAATAATAA